TTGCAGATAACGCAACATTTAGTTGGCCTTATTTGAGAGACAGTGATGAATCTGCTTATAGATGGGAGCTTGAACAACTCGCCCTGTGGTGCAGCTGTAACAATCTGGAGCTGGAGCTGCTTAAAACTATAGAGATGAGAGTGGGTTTTAGGAGGAGCCCTTCTATTTTACTTCTCCTTACAGTATTCGACAGCACAGTATCAGTAGTAGAGTCCTTCAGGTTTTGGGGTACTTGATCTCTCAGGACTTGAAATGAATGGTTAATATTTGTTTGTTTTTAAATTTATTGGCTGCCTAGCTTACCACAGAGTAATTCTAGGTGGCAAAGAGAGAGGGAGGGAGAGACATAAATTATACAACACTATAATGCAATTAAAATAGTGGGAGGTGGGGTCGGTTAATTGATCAACCACCTTCATTGTGATGCTCCTCCACTGGGGTCCCTGTCAACCAGAATAATTGGATCTTTCGGACCCTGCAAGGCATCCTGCTCCAAGAGGCTCCACCGGCAAAGACTCATTTCTGGCAGAGTTTGGGGGAGAGAAAGAGTTCTGCTGCTTCTGCTGCTTTCCTTGCATGAAGCCAAAAGTCTCTCTCTCTCTCTCTCTCTCTCTCTCTCTCTCCCCCTCCCTTCCTCCCTGCTATAGGGCATTATATGCCAAGACAACTAGATACAGGGATAGCTTTTTCCCTTGTGCCATCACTGTTGAATTCTTACAGTTCTGTCTAATGTGTATATATATTAACCCATACAGTATGTATAATTTATCCTTTCTGTTATCTTCATTTCGCTCTTTTATTGGTATATTTTAATTGTTATTCTCTCTATTGCTTTGCAAGAACACTGAGTATTTTTGTACTGTATACAAATTTCTTGTGTGTCCAATCACACTTGGCCAAATAAAGTACCCAACCCAACCCAACCCAACCGAATTGTTTTAATTGCTTTAATTTTTAACAATGAAAAGATTTAATTGTTTCTAGTACTTTTTTACTTTTTTAACTTTTTGTTGTAAGGTGTCCAGGGTCATTGTATCAGTGAGATGGGAAGCATAGAATTTTAATAAATAAATAAAAAAAATAAAGCTGGATTCTAAACAGCAATGAGGAGAATAAACTAAATTTGATTTAATTTATTTTCAGTTCAAAGTGAATTAAATATAGTTTAATTTGGTAGAAGCGTGGAAAAATAAATATGTAGCAACTTTGGAGGCAATATGGGGATTGCATCTAAAGATGGACTATTTATCCCGGTTTAGTTGGATTCTATATTGTAGATCCTTTAATGAGCAAGTAGTTAGACTAGATGATTTCCAGTGTATATTCCAAGCATTGGATTATATGATACCAAAAGATCACATCTTATCTTCAGAAAGAAGGGATGAAAACTTAAGGCCTCTTAGCTTAATTTCTGTCCACCTGGAAAGATAGCTTCCCTAAGTAGAGAATATAGGTAGTCCTTGACTTATGACCACAACTGAGCCCAAAATTTATGTTGCTAAGTGAGAAATTTGTTAAGTGAGTTTTGCCCCATTTTATAACTTTTCTCGCTGCATTTGTTAAGTGAATCACTGGGGTTGATAGGTTAAGTGAATCTGGCTTCCCCATTGACTTTGCTTGTCAGAAGGTTGCAAAACAGGATCACATGACTCCGGGACACTGCAACCATCATACATGTGAGTCATTTGTCAAGCGTCTGAATTTTGATCATGTGACCATGGAGATGCTGCAACTGTCGTAAGTGTGAAAAACGGTCATAAGTCACTTTTTTCAGTGCCATTAACTGTTCTAATTCGAGGACGACCTGTATCTTTATTGCATTTGCAGGGGATAATGAAGCTTTAGAAGATGCAGTAGAGAGTATGATGAAATTCAAGATATCTTTTTTTGTCAGTCAGCCCATTATTAATAATTAATTTCAGCAATTATTAATTCTAAAATGTTGCACTTCCATTTTTTAGAGCACAGTAATGGGCTGGTTCAATCATCTCTTGAGGCAAAATTATACATCAGAAAATAGAAAAGGTTGTCACCATCCTTTTCTTGATTTCCCCTCCCCCCATTTTTGATAGCATGAATTTTATCATAAATGTGTTACTTCGCTGTGAGTTTACTTTGCTTTCTATTTTTCTGCTGGATAATAGTCAGATGTGAGAATCTGGAAAAGTACAGATAGTAGTGGTGATGTCAATTCTTAAATTGCTATAAAAATGCATTAAAAGGGGGATAAAAAATGACAGCAGTTAAAGCCTTCTGCATCGAAAAAAATACAGTATATGTTTCCCAAGTGGCGAAGTACTAGCCCTAATGCATGATAAAATCCAAAGAATTGACAAATTTCAATTGTTTTCTTAGATGCATGAACCACTGGAAGATTATTTCTTCCATGGAACATTAATTTCCTCTATTTCTGCCTCTGTAAGTGTATTTAATACTTTTAGAAGGGCAATTTATTTCTCAATGCATCTTACATGGAAGTTACAGCTGAAAGATACAAAACAAATTCACAATTTTCCTTGAAAGCATGAACCCATCCTTCACTTAGTGAACAAAAGATGCTGAGAAGCAATGATAACTGAAGTGGCCTGCATTTTCATGAGTGAATATTGCCCATGGTTCTGATGAAATACCTAAATCCTCCTCTGCCTCTCTGTATATGTGTGTATGTATGTATGTATCTATGTAAGTACTCTCTTATTTTCGAAGAAACACAGTATGTCTATGTCTATATCATTATGTGTGTGTAAGTGTCTTATGTATGGATTAGATTAGACTGCACTAAAATTATTAAGCAGACATGCATATTAAACAATATTCCTAGTGTGATATTTTCCATATTATTCAATTGGGAAGTTCATGAAGACATATATTGTGCTTTCTTACTGATGCTAGATGACATTAGCTCTGGAATGGAATTTATAGTTAAAATATAATAGCTGAGTAAAAATATTAAAGTTTCAATATTTTTGTCATTAATTCATCTATTTTGAACTTGGAAATTTTCTAAAGTTATCTAAACCATTTTTGAGGATTCAGTCTGTCTTAGCTGCATAATGAAACATGGAAATTAAATCCCAAAAGGGGCTTTTCAAGAGGCAACTGGACTTTCTGTCTTTGAAGACATTTTGCTTCTCATCCAAGAAGATTCTTCAAAGGGGAAAAACAAAACCAGAAAGTCCAGTTGCCTTTTGAAAAAGCACCTTTGAGACAACCATGACCTGGATGACTGAGAATCTCCATAGACATGCAAATTATTAGTATTTTCATTCTAAATGAGATATATCAGTATGACTTGTCTTTTCAATTTGCACCTGGCTTAGAATCCTTTAAATGGCCATTTCTGGCAACATCTGAAACTGTTCTGCTTTTCTATGATTTTTTCTTGTCATCTTGAAGACAGACAGAAAGAGCCTTAACAACCACAAGACTATATTTATATTTGCATCTGCATTACTTCTTCATTTCTCTTCCAATACCTAAAGCAATACCTTCCCCCATAATTTAAATTTCATAATTTCATTTTTGGCTTCTAGGTGCTGGTTAAGAAAGGATTTTTCGAAATGACCATCAGAGCATTAGTATTTCGTATATTATTATTAACACGCTCTGATGCTAAGGAGTTCTACTCCCTCTCCCCACCTGAAAAGAAATCTGTTCCAAATGCAAAATACAAGCAGAGGAGAGGCGTTTCAGTTTCATTGCATCAAGCAGCTTTAGTACAGAATAGTTGAGCTAAGCCATGTCCAGGCTCCTTGCTGTCTCCTTCTTGCTCACACAGCAAATACTGCTTTAATTTCCAAACAGCCATCAACTCTCTCACACACTGACAGCATGCTAGCCAGATGAATACTGATGGATGTTGGTAGGTAAAGGCAGAATTTTTTCTCTTTATTTTCCTCCCCCAAAACTAACCCCAACCACATAGTTTCATAGTGAAGCACGAGTATCGAGCTAGTTAAACACATTTGTTCAGTATGAGGGAATCCAACCCCTCCTAATATTGCAGAACTATAGTATATAGAGTCAAAAATGAAAAAATGCAGCACTTTACATATGAAAACACCTTGTGGACCAGGGGCTTCTTAACCCTGCTTTAATGGCAATGTCCGCAATTAAATAAAAATATCTAATCTATTAATGGGGTTGGATTAAGATCACTTCTCAGATCTGTATGACTCATAGTGTCCATAAGAGACAGTGACTTCCTTGTCATCTCTAAAAAAAAAATTCCTTTTAAGAATAAGAAAACTGTGAAGGAAACTTGGTGTGCCAATCATTTTCTCCACCATTCATTTATGGTTGCCATTGTGGAGAATAATTGGAGATCCATGTAAGCTCTTTTAGGAAGGAAAGCCAAGTTGTAAAATTTTAGGATTTCAACTAACATTAATCACTTAAATGAATATTATCATTTTTGCATGATTTAATATATAAGTACTTTATATAGTTATGTCGAAATTTAGCAGAGCTTCCTTTATGTGTAATTTAACTGCTTCGTTCATTTTGTTCAGTGCTTTTACAGACCATCATTCAGAGCAAAACTCCTAATGCAACTGACATTAAGAAAATAAATTACATGAAAATCAGAATTAATGCAAAGTTCGATATAAGTAGTAAGATTTGAGAAGACCTACTAATCAATCTGCAATCACAGCTTTGTTTAGGACACCAAGGGTCAGTGACTGAGGTAGTCTTAATAGCATGGCAGAATTATTTTTGCATTGGTTTTATCCTATTGTGTACATTTCCTATATTAACATTGGTCTTCTCCAAATAGCTTATTATACCTCTATCCTATATCAGTCATTTTTATATACATAGCACTGGTTTTATTAGCCCCTATTACTTATGTAATATTTCTAAAGCACTGTTGCTACCGTCCTATATCAATGATTGATTGTAGTGGGAAAAGAGAAATTTGAAAGTGTTTAAGTATTCTTGCAAGCTAGTGAAAAAAAAATGATGAAATGTTCCCTCTCTTCCCTTTCTGTCCATCACAGGATGAAGATGAGACGCCACAAGCTCTTTTTGACTCTGTGCATGGCTGGTCTCTGCCTCATCTCCTTCCTTCATTTCTTGAAGGCCCTGTCCTATGTCACATTCCCCAGGGAGCTGGCATCACTTAGCCCCAACCTTGTGTCTAACTTATTCTGGAACAATGTACCGGTCACACCTCAGGCTAGCCCTGACTCTGAGGGTCCAGAAATTCTGCGTACCCCACTATATTCCCACTCACCACTGCTTCAGCCTCTTTCCCCAAGCAAAGCTGGTGAGGAGCTACACAAAGCTGAGTTTGTGCTGCCTGAAGACACCACAGAATACTTTGTACGCACCAAAGCTGGTGGTGTCTGCTTCAAGCCAGGGACTAAGATATTGGAAAAGCCACTAGCAGGACGCCTAGAGGAGAAGATAGAGGGAGTTATATCCGGGCGCACGGGCCGTAAACCTTTGAGTGCCACTGGGACAAAACGACGTAAATGGGTGGAGTGCATGTGCCTGACAGGTTGGCATGGACCCAGCTGTGGTGTTCCCACTGTGGTTCAGTATTCAAATCTCCCCACAAAAGACCGTCTGGCACCACGGGAGGTTCCCAGGAGAGTCATTAATGCCATCAATGTGAATCATGAATTTGACCTCTTGGATGTACGTTTTCATGAGCTAGGTGATGTGGTGGATGCCTTTGTGGTTTGTGAATCAAACTTCACAGCATATGGTGAACCACGTCCTCTCAAGTTCCGTGAGATGCTACTCAATGGCTCCTTTGATTACATCCGGCACAAAGTGCTCTACGTCTTCCTGGATCACTTCCCCCCTGGTGGCCGCCAGGATGGCTGGATTGCTGATGATTACCTGCGTACCTTCCTAACTCGAGATGGCATCTCTCGCCTCCGCAATTTGCGGCCAGATGATGTTTTCATAATTGATGATGCAGATGAAATCCCAGCCCGTGATGGTGTCCTTTTCCTCAAACTCTATGATGGCTGGACAGAGCCTTTTGCTTTCCATATGCGGAAATCTCTCTATGGATTTTTCTGGAAGCAGCCTGGCACTCTAGAAGTGGTTTCTGGTTGTACAGTTGGAATGCTCCAGGCTGTTTATGCCACCGATGGAATTCGCCTACGCCGGAGAGAATATTATACCATGCCAGGCTTTCGGCAGTATGAAAACAGCACAGGTCATATCCTAGTACAGTGGTCATTGGGCAGTCCACTCCACTTTGCTGGCTGGCATTGTTCTTGGTGTTTTACACCTGAAGGAATTTATTTTAAACTGGTTTCAGCTCAGAATGGAGACTTTCCCCGTTGGGGTGACTATGAGGACAAACGAGACCTTAACTATATTCGAGAGTTAATTCGGACTGGTGGGTGGTTTGATGGTACCACCCAGGAGTATCCACCTGCAGACCCCAAAGAACAAATGTATGCCCCCAAATATCTTTTGAAGAATTATCAACGGTTTTGTTACTTGTTGGAAAATCCCTATCAGAAGGCAAAGGGAACAGGGTGAGGGGAGTGGGCTTGCATGAGAAAACACAATCTTTTTTGGGAAAAAGGGAAAGTCAGACTGTGTCTTTTGTTTTTTCCTCTGCCCCATTCTGCTGGGATTTGTACATTCTCTCTACCCTGTCAGTCCCACTGCAGACAAGAGATTTAGGATATGTGTGTATGGAAAGGGACTCCTAGGAACATTCCTGTCCCCAGGAACTAGCTTTTTGTAGGATTGAAGAAAAATCTGATGCAGGAAGCATCCATAAGTCTTGGGAACTGGGGAGCATGCAGTGGATGTGTGAAGGTATGAATGTGCCAAAGCCTCTACAACCTTTGTAGTATAGCTAAGGATAACATTCAATTCCATTTTTAAAACCCAGTTTCTCCTAAGTACTTTGGCATCAATGGCTGTTCTGCTTTCCTAATATATGGCCACCAAGAGAGATTTTGTCAGTGAAAATGGACATTGAACTCATCTAGGATCTTTATATTTTGCCATGTGCATCTGTTATATGAGGATATAAAGATGGAAGCACACACAAACTGGAAGCATAGTAGCACCAAAGAATTCTGCTTTCCATCTTATGATTATGGACATTCAGGGAAACTTTACAAACTGGCAGGGTATGAAGGTTGAAAAGCTGTCTGATTTTGGATATATTTTGGATAGTTAGCCTTTAATATAAGAATAAGATGACAGCACAACCTGTAGCCCACAGATTTGAAAAGAGTATAGCTATCACAGATACACTTCCCTCTTCTTTAGCAACACAATGTGATGTTTACATTTTCAACTAAAACAGGGTGTGTCTAATGCTTCAGAGGAAAGGAGAGGTCAGCTCCAGTGCCCGTCTTTCTACTTCTGAAACAGAAGAAGTGCAAAGGTACTTGGCTCTATGATGCCATTGTTTTGAGGATAAGATAATATTGTTGCTATACCAATACCAATCATTTGGTTTGCAAAGGCAGAGACGGGAATGGAGGGTATTTATCTGATGGAAATGAAATGAGAAGCCAACAATTATAACCTGGATGCCAAGCATTTCTGTGGTCAATTTTTTTTGCAGCTTTCAATGAAGTATATCATTGCCCCACTCCCAATCACTTATGCATCTATGGCCCTAAATCAGGATGAGAAACAGGTCAAGGCTTACATTCTGCTAGCTGCTAGGAAAACATATGAAGCAATGAGGAGGAGTTCAAAAAGAGCTTCTTTGTCATAATGTGTTATTCTGGCATGCACCATTTTCCTTGTTTGATCCATCCAGCATTTCACGCTCTTCTGCCTTTACAACATTGAAGTCTTGCCATTCTAGAGACTGCAAGCCATGTTGTATGTGATTTGTCTTTTGCACATTTTGCCTGTGCAGTATACTCTGCCAGTTCATCCTCTGACTTTTTTTTTAATGTGGTGAATATCTAAATACAGACTCTTTTTCAATAGCAAAGTTTCAGGAAAGAGGATTTGAGCAGGGAGAAGATGAGTAGGATTTTTTGGTTTGTGTTTCAAGGGTGGCTCCCTTACCAGCAAAGTAATATTCTGTTGCTTGAGTGAATTTATCAAGAGTTATAAAAGAAATCATAAGTACAAAAGAGCCCTGAGCTTGCTTAAAATCTGTCTTATTACCAAGAAGAGATCTGTACTACTTTTTATCTTGTGATCAGCATAAGAATGAAGCCAATATTAAATTACGTTAAACTTTCCCTCTATAGATATTGTTACTTTGGTCTGTCATAAAATTAAACTGAGCAGAGAAGATACATATGCCTTACATTGTGAGAAAGATTTATCATGTCAAAGGAGAACAGACATGTGGCTATGCTAAAGCAAATGTGTAGCAATAGCAAAAGAACCACTATTGAGGAACTGAAGGTAGCAAAACACCAAGTTTTCTTATGCTTCTTCACTACAGATACAGGAACTGTTTTGTCTTCACCCTTGGGATGAAAGGAGAATCTAGGCCACAACTCCATTGCTCTCTAGTTCTAATTAAACTTCAACCACCAGGAGGTCTATCCACACACTCAGTTGTTAGAAGTGATAGGAGTTGATATCCAATATCAGAAAGATTGCAAGTTGTCTACTTTAGTTTAGGGCCAACTCTTTCCACTGCTTTTTTTTTTCCTAAATATGTTGGACTTCACATTTGGAAAGCTGAGGAAGGCTATTCTAGAGGCCATAGTTTTCAATGCTTATAATTCCATTAAAAGTAGTAATTGGGAGATGCTTCTTCAGTATTGATAGGGACAAAGCAAATGGAGGAGGTGCTTCCAAACTACTATAACAGGGAAAAAACTGCACTTTTATACTCAGTGAGACATGAACTGGGAGGTTGAAGCATATCTGGCCATTGGGTTCAAGTCAATCAACTTTACTTTAAAAGAGATGTTTTTCTATAATATTTCTGTGGAGTTTCCTAAAAGAATGCACCCTTCCGTTCAGCTCAGTCAATACTGATTGTGATACACATATAATTTATCATCTACATTTTGTATGCGCGACTGTGAATGACTTTTACAATGAATGCCCATGAATTCTTAATTCACTGATTAGCACAAATTTTTGGTTCTACCTGTCATCAAAATGCAGACAAAATGTTTCTGAATTCTTTTATCTTTCTACAAGTTTTTTTTACCACCTTTTTCTTTCCCATATCTGTTTTTCTCCCTTTATTTTCTTTCCCTTCCACTGTTGTTTCCAAGGAACAGATCCCATTCTAAATGGATAAGTTAGCACTAAAATCCTCTGGGAAGCTGAAAGGACTCTTTGTTCTGGTCTCCTCTAATTGCACCAAAGTGAAACTTGAAACTGACCTCTAATGGGAGAGAAAGGGAGACTTTATGGTAAAACCTTTGCTTTAATAATAGTAACAACAAACTTTTGCACAGGGTAGCCTGAAACACTTCTACTATATGAACCATCTATTTATTTATTATATAGCTACTAGCATTCAGTTTCATAGAACAGACTGAAGGAACTTTGCACTAATAACAATCGTTTGAGCATCTGTTGTGGGGTTAGGTATAGGAGACTTAGTTTTGGGAAATGGCTATTTTCTTTCTTTTTTCCTTCTCAGCCATCATGAATAACTGGAGCTAATAGGATAATGCCTCCTAATGGTTGTTGATCAAAAATATGTATTTTCTTTACAGCCTTTACCCTCACTCAATTCTACTCTACTGTTCCAAACAAATCTTTGGAAGAGTTTAAGCATAATTGCCACAGTCCATAACAGCCGTACTGAGTGGTTGATAAGTGGTGCCTACTTTGCAGTCTGCTTTTGGACCTTAGCTTCTCATTTGCATAGTGTTCAGAGAATGCCTTACTCCTACAATGTTCTACTCCTTTTTCAAACTTACAGCCTGATAAAACCAGGGTGTAATATTCATCCTAGGCTATGCCTCTCTTTAATTGCAGGGGGTGTGTGATTCTGTGACCTTCTTTAGAAAACATAAATTTCTCTCAATATAGAGAAGTACATAAGGAGAGAGAAGACTTTTATCTTATTAGCTTCTATGATGTGCTAATTTTGTGTCTGCAGTTGGAGTGTGCTTTTTCTTGTACTCCATTTTCTCAGCTTACCATAGCAGAGGTCACGAACGGTTCTATTATTTACTTCTTATACCAACTAGGCTAATCATGGCTTTAATTTATTCTTATCTTATAATCTTTTAATCTCTTATACAATACAGGCAGCAACTTAGGAGACTTCTAGAATTATGCTATCACCTTTGTCCATTTGTTCTAATTCTCATTTTTTAATGTTCACTACAACTCTGGCACATCTTATTTTTGCTTTCCACAACCTGCTCTTAGAATGGCAGTCAAATCCGCTTAAGCAAAGTCTGTGGTGGCTGAATATTAATGCAATTGCTGTCTCAATATCTAGGAAAATACCAGGTTAAGAAAAGCTTTTTTAGTTAAGTAAGATATCTGGCATTAACTAAAGGATTGTATATGTTCATCCTTTGATTTTCTGTGGGGTTCTTTTCTTACTTTCCCTCTTTGTCCTACTATATATCTTCTTATTATCTTCCAATATCTGTATTACAAAAACAGGAAGCTCATTTTATTTTCTTTAACAGGCATACTGTTCAAGGAGATTCTGAATCATTCAAACGTGTTATAATTTTTTTAAAATTGCAGCTGAACAGACCTTGAAACTGAATTGATATTTCTATTGATTGATTGCTTGCTCCTGGCCAATCTTTTTTTACCCTCAGTTTCAGAAGTGATGGCTGCCTGACCTATACTCACATTCTGGCATAGATTGTAAGGGACAAGATATTATGTCTGGTAAGTCCATTAAAAGCTAGCTGCTTTAATAAAAGAAGGGATTGCTCTTGCCTTCATTTATGTCTACTTCCAAGGTGCTTTTCCACCTTAGAGAAACTTTAAAAGGGAAAATATGTTGCTGGTAAGTCTAGTTGTGTGGGTATAGGAGGAAATAGAGGCCTTAATAGCAGTACAGTATTAGGACATAGAGGTCATTGTGTTATACCATCATTGAGGTTACTAGGCTTGGTACATCAGCTTAAAAAGAAAGTTTGGCAACAAGGATGCACCACTGTCCTGTATAATTACCACAGAGAGAAGTCCTGAAAATAGGACTTCTGTTTCTCAAGGAAAGGATGTGGGATATCTTATACTAGCAAACTGAAATAGCTTTTGTGGCCCACGTTGGCTAAGGTTTATGTGGGACTCGCCAAATATGTAGAAGTCCTCTACAGTCTAATTTATAATACCTATATTAATAATTTTGTAAGGGTAAATCAGTGTGTACATACTGAAATCATTTTCTCTGTAAATGGTTGGATTTCATTTCACCCTTAAAGGGATGTTTAAAGGAAAAAATAAAACAAATTACACAATGAAAGGGAACCTGGGATGTGTGCTTGTTTTTATTTCAAACTGGAACAGGAAGACAGACGCTCAAGGAAGAGGGCAGGAGAGTCTGCTTCTTTCAGCTCTGAATAAACACACATACATATATGGAAAAGTATGCAGTGTTAAAATATTTGTGTTCTTTTTAATGCAGTATGTAACCACTTTTTCTCACAGTTGTGACAGCTTGATTCAGCCATCTATCCTGGTTGTTTAAACAAACTGCATGACAATGTAAGAATATGAATTAACTTCGTGCCCACTGGATTCTGAAAAAGACTCCAGTTAGCATTTGAGTTTATAATCCAGACAGAAGAATGCAGAAATATTATATTAAATATTATATATTATAATTAAATCGCTTAATATTGCTATTAATTCATAATTATCAAGATAATTTAGAAAGGATATGAGCTGGATATTGATGTAAATTGATAAAGTGTTTTTTTTCCATTACAAATAAAGTTATGGACAGAGTGGAAAAAGTCACTGGGAGGTCATTTTGCAGTAAACGTTTTCTGCTTCAAAGGTGGGAAGAAGCACTGCTACTTTACCTAGAACAGGGGTGTCAAATGTGCATCATCATGGTGTCATCACATGACTTATCGTGACTTTTGCCCTTCTCTAAACCGGGGGTGGGTGAGGCCAGCGAGTGACGCATCTGGCCCGTGGGCTGTGAGTTTGACACCCTTGACCTAGAGTGTCCCATTTGAACATTCTATGTCAATTGTTTTCCAAGGAATAAAAACCTGGAACTTCTCCATGTTCCATGTCCTACTCTAGGGAACAACAGGACTGCAAAAATAAGCTTGTTTCCACTTTATTTTTCACCTAGGAACTATTGCCCTCTTTACGTAAAAAATGCCCAAGGGAATGATTTTTCAAAACAAAAGTTTGTGGAAACTTTTTAAAAATTCCTATAAGATTGTTTAAGTACATTTTCCCACCTTGCCCATATCAACAGCTATAGAAGCCTAGCAAGGAATGATCTATATACCATGATTCCTTTAACTGAGCCCTGAACAAGAAGAGGAACAAAAAAAATTTGTAAACTTCTCTGTTTATTGGCTTGAGAGTTGTTTAACATACACACAAATTGGTGGCTGGGCCCTAACAGCAGCATCTACTTTGAGCATGTGTTTATGTAAATGCTATTTTTCCCTTGCTCCATTTCCTTACCTATTTTTGTCCAAGCAGTAGAGAAGTGCAGTATCTTTGTAAAAACAAAGAGACTCTTAGAATATTTGAAACAATACTATTCAAAATGGCTGTTTGATTCAAGTTTGCAACAAACCAGTGCATTTTATTCAAAGATAAGGACAAAGCTGTTTGAACATGATTCCATTCCAATCTCAACACGCTCATAATATCTGTTTCAAGCCCAAAATATTTTATATGTCCATTGTGAAATGCATATTCAATATATTAAAACGGAATTCTTCATAATTTAACTGGTGGGCAGTTATTTAATAGAAGCTTAAGCATTATAAATCATGGATCTACTTCATAAAATTTGTTTGCAATTTGAGATTAGAACAGAGATTAACCAGTTATAATTGGCATTATCATTTATAAACATATCGTCATCCCTTCAATCATTAGAGCAATTAATATAGATTTTGGCTTTCTATTTTATAAAGTGAAGATGAACAAACACAGCCACAAAAGGTCCTTCTAATATATATAATGATCTCAGACTGTACAGAAAATTCAATTTGTCAACAAAGATCAACTTTATCATTCACTCATTTGTCCTCACACTGAATCACATTTTCCAAATATTGCAAGGGGAAGATTATTGGATCATTTAAAAGCAACAATTGATTTAATAACATTAATAATTAGTGCCTCACTAATTAAATAAAATGTATAAAAACACCTTCAAAATTTAAGGAACTCAATTAATGGAGAATAAACAAAGTAAGTTTTGGTCCACATTCCATATTATAAGATGTTCAGGACTTGTCACAGGGGAAAAAAAGTAATATTCTTCCAAATCACTATCTTTCTCATTTAAAACAAATAACTAGCCAAATTTTATCTGTGAAACTTGGACACAGAGGAGAGCTTCTACCTGAGGTTGAATTCTGGTCTCAGTGTCCAGCTTGATGTGATCTGCTTCCAATTTTGTCTGATGGTTGAGCAAGATGTATGGTCTCATCTGGCCTGAATTTATGAAAGACTGAGGATAAAGCATGATGCTAATACCAACCAACATCGGGAGAAGGAATTGGGTCGTGGTCTTTGTGAAAGCTCATCCACTGCCTGGTTGACCTAGTGCAGTTATCTAGAAGTTGGAAGAAGGATGGTGAGTGGGTGGTGGCAAGTTATGAAATAGCATGATTGAGGAATGGCTGGGGCTTGAACCATCTATTCCCCCCACCAACATATATCAGGTAGGAGTCAGAACAGGGAATAGGGTCCTGCATTATAAGAGTGTGTGTTTTGCCCTCCACCTCTGGTTGAGAGAATGGGTTAGATTTTTTTAGAGAGAGTATGCAGAGGGATTGGCTCACAGGTGCTATCTGCCTCATCTGATGTTACTTATCAACTTAGAGGAAGGGGGTTTAAGACTGAAGTGTGAATGGCTGGGGAAAGGGAGTAGGTGATGGTGGTGAGAGATTGGTCAGCTGTCAGATTCAGGGGAGAATATTGTGATGATGACAGGCAGTAGAATATATGGCAGAAGTCAGGATGGGATGCACTCAGAGAGCATGGGAGCAATGTCTTGTATCAATCTCACATCCCAACCCTCTGCCTTGAACTTCAGTTACAGGTTACTGAACATTACACAAGCAAGGTGCTTTGAATGTCAGGTTGGCCTCTAATAATGCTCTTTATGAGATCTGGAATCAATAGATCAGGAGTCCTGTGGTTAGAATGCAGTATTGTAACCTAACTCTGCCCACAGCCAGGAATTTGATCCAGACTGGCTCAAAGTTGACTCAGTCTTCCATCCTTCTGAGTTTAGTAAAATAAGGACCTAGACTGTTGGGCAGTATGCTGACATTTATAAACTGCTCAGAGACAGCTATTGTTTATATGACCCTGCATAAGATGGCTGACCTAGCATATATTATCAAGACCTGGCTGGGCAAAGAGTGTGGGGTGGCTTACTCTGAAACATGCCCAGGGAGTACCAAACTGCAACTCTGAGCCAGAGTGGGGAATTCCTATTGTTTTCTTAAGATCTGCAGAAGCTGATCTGCAAACAACTGTGAGTCACAATTGTGAAACTGGGTCTTAAGAATCAATAGAGAGTTCTGCTATTTTATTCACCTCCCTGCTACTTGGCAGCCTTCCTGCCTGTTCTGCTTAGTGCCACCTCTGGGTTTGTCATGAAGTACCTCAGACTGGGGTGAAATTCAAAAATTTTCTACCAATTCAAATAGTACCTATCACCTCTCCTGGGGCGAATTTCACCCCTGCCTCAGACCTATGATTTGGGGGACTTTAATCTGCCATCCTTGGGGGTCAGACTTAGAGGCAGTGTAGGAGTTCGTAACCACCTGGGATTTGACTCAGTTTATTGCAGGGCCAATCCCCAGGGCAGGTCATAGGTTAGACTCAGTTGTTATTTTGGGGTAATGTTGATGTGATTTTGTGGTAAACAGATCACTCCTTGGAGATCCCAGACTTTATTTTTTAATGATGTATGGTTATTTCTTTTTTGTTAATGCTTATTTTTATTGTATGTTGCCCAGTCATATTGTTTGAGTCAGACTTAAAATGAATAAACAAACTTCTTGTGAGGAATACTGTGAATTGTACAGGAAGAACATCAGCTCATAAGAAATGCCTCAATTTTTCATATAAGGCCTTACATTTGGAAATATCATGCCACAAGTTTCCAATATCATGTACAAATAGAAAATTAGTGAGACAGAGGCAAACTCCCTCATTTTTAGTTTCAAATAAGGGGAAAATAGCCCATATTTGACAACTTACTGAAAACAATCTAGACAAATTAAAATAAATAAATTTTATATATCAAGAGGTCTACGGGATGTTCAAAGCTGTCTTTTGATTTACTCAAGTAGTCAATAAAGTGCAAACTGAAAATAGTCTTGCACGTTGGTACCTGCACGTAAGGATTTGAAACCCAGCAATAGGATTATTCAAACTCCTACTCAAATGCTTTGCTTAATAGAAGTGGAACACTGTCTGGAATATTATGTTCTGTGAAACTAAATATAGAAATCTAAAGAGGTTCAAAGTTTGTGCCGGAGTTTCCATGTCTCTTCACTCAGCAAAATAGATAGAGAAATTGTATTTGAAAATTTGCCTCACCTACCAACTTTCTTTCAAGAACTGAAAACTATTTATACATTTGGAATTCAACTGTACGTATTTCTTGACAGAAGTGATTTTCTGGCTGCTAATTTTACTAGCGTATTTTTCCCTACGCACATTTTGTTTTTGAAAACGAAACCAGAATATGTCAGTCTATACAAGTCCAGGCTGGCTTCAAGAGGTTGAATAGAAATCCAAACACAGCTGCAATCCTATGCAACCTGGCCTTCTGAATAAACTGGTACAGTAAAAGACTGGTATGTGTGTGCTGCATTTTCAATGGGCATATACTGCACACAATCACAATTTTAAATATCTCTTTCATCTCTGTCATATCCTCTTCTAGTTCTGTGAGGAAATTGATGATACTTTTGGCCAGCCAGTAAACTGTGCTTTACTTATCAGAAGATGATGCAAGATTTTAAAGAGAAAAACAGTGCCTGCAGGACTTTTTGAAGAAACTACTATTCCTGGTGAAAACAGAGAGTCTACTGTAGTGGGAAGAAAATATCTAAAATTATGACTCATTAATTCAGGGCCAAACTATGGTTGTACCCCACCCCATCTGATTTTGCTGTCCTGAGAAGTTTGCACCTGTCAGATTAAGAAACATTTAGATAATGGTATGTACCCTACATGTAATGCTAAAGTTTGTTTGGCTTACTGTTATTTATTCTTGCTCTTAGTTACAGAAAACCTCAATGCAATATATATTTGCTGAAGGTATGTTGTATTCATAGCCCATTCATCAAGACACAAAGAACATAACACAATGAAGGATTAAGCAGAATCAACATATGAAATAAACTTTTGTCCTTGTAATGCAGATGAGTCCAGTATATTCTCTGAATATCTCAACTGAATAGAATGGAAGCA